ACAGTGGGCTCTTCTTCGCCTTCACTTTGCTCGCTGTCCTTCATTTCTCGGTCTCTCCCCTTGCTTTCTTGCACAATTTCGTCATCTGTCAAGCGTTCAAAGCCAGGTTCGTTGAAATGCCACACTCCAACCAACTCGTTAATATTTTCAGCATCGACGTTCTCACCACCTGGAACTCTTTTCACCATATCGGCAAGAGTTGGCGTGGGCGTGTCTACATCTTCATTCTCTTCCTTCACAACTCAAAGGGCTTAGGTTGCTGTTGGCTTCAACATTAGGCATGAGTTTTTTCCATGATTTTATGAGGGTTGACGGTTCCACTGAGTCCCATGCAGATGCAATATCGTAGATGCTGTCCAAGATTGTGTAGCGTTTCCAAAACTTTTCAGACCATAACCTTCTCCAATTTTGGTAATTAGCAGCTTGGTTCCGCATGTTCTCTTCATTGTTGCAATGACTACTTGTTCCATGGGTTGGATTAGCGCAGTAACGTTTTGTCCATCATATGACTTTAGCACGCTTGTTGTTGGGTGAGAAGGTGCGTTGTCGATCAATAGCACAGCTTTTTCAGGCAGGTTTCTTGATTTAAGATGTTTACGCACTTGAAGAACAAAGATGTTTTCGAACCATTCTTGAAAAATGTTTTGGTTCATCCATCCTTTTTTTTTTTTTTTTTTTTTTTTTGGTTCAAATTTTCAATTCAAAATTTGGTTCAAAATCAAAGGGCAAATTTTCTTTCCTTGTGCCTTTGAAAGATCTCGTTTTTTTTTTTTTTTTTTTTTTACTTTCCAATGACAAAAGGTCTAAGTTTATGTCCACCCGTAGCATTACTGCAAGACATGACAGTGATCCTTTCCTTGCTGCTTTTATGACCTGCCACTTAATTTCCTTTTCAAACTGTAAAGTGCAAGTGGGAAAACATTTCCACAAAAGTCCTGATTCGTCAGCATTGTAAATTTGATCAAAAGATAGCTCTTCTTTTAAAACAAATTCTTCAAATTCATGGTGGAAATCGTCAGCTGCTTGTTGGTCACCACTAAGTTTCTCACCATGAAGTCCAATTTTTCGAATTCTATGTCACTGCTTAAAACGAGTCAACCAGCCAGAAAACACATCAAAATTTCCTTTCACGCCTAAAAACTCAAAAAAGGTTTTTGCCTTCGCCGCAATGATAAGACCATTTACAGGAGTACTCGTTTTCATTGCGGAAGCACTGTCCAACATTGATGCAAAGTTCACCAGCTTGTCTTTTTGCTACCCCCGGGGGTCGACGTAGAGAACTCTGCGAAGCTACTGGCTAGGATCTGTACCTAGGCAGTCTCGGCCACGGGGGTATAAAATTTATGAACTTGGTGGTTCTGAAGGCTCTGGGAAAGTCACTTGTTGGCCGGCCTCGGAGTCTGGCACGTCCTAGCACAGCGTGGTACAAGTAGCCCGGGGGTTTTCCCTCGGGTTCGCTGGGTAATGTCCCACTGCGACGGGCTCGCCCAAGCGACTGGTAGGAGCAACTTGACACCTGTGCTGCCTGGTGTCTTATCCAGGTGGTGCGCTGCTCCCCTGGAATTGTAATAGTGGAGGTTGAACCTCCACGAGGTGCCCAAAGGGACCTGTAATGTGATTGAGTTACACGAGGAAGGGAAGCCCAAACTGTTGTTGTTGTTGTCTTTTTGCTTTAGAATGTCCCGCACTGTTGTTTCCGTGTTTCCGCAATCCAATTCCATCTGCTGCCTTGTAGCGCTGTTTGCTACTTTGGAAACTAATTCTGGTTTTTGCGCAATCGTCAACACAACCTTCTTTCGTTTTCCTGATATTTTAAATCAGTAATGAAAAACACAAATCCAAAAAGCACAAGCACTGAACACAATAAAAAATAGGAAATTAACTCGAACCGGTTCGCAAACACTATCAGGCTTAAACTAACAATGGCGAGTGGGAGGAAGTGGACATGTCAGTAAGATTAAGACAAGAAAGGACGGTGGAGCAGGCACTGCAAGGGTGAGTAAGAAATCCATGGAGCTAAGAAAGGAAGGAGTGGCCAACTGGCACTAGAAGTGAAGCACTGCTTCGAAGCTTCGGTCACCAGATGGGGTGTTCTTTGTTTACATTCAGAAGCTCGCTCGACAGCGTTCTGATAGTATTTCGACACACAACAGTTCCATACAAATCGAAAAAGGGACACTTTCCGCATGAAAGAAACATTCCATAGGTGTGATGGATAATAGCAATTGTGTATAGTTTAGTGACATTTACGCAAAAATCACATCTTGGTTATTTTTCGATAACTAACAACAGCGATTTTGATTATGAATTTGTTTTATAAAATTCTAAGCTGTTGAACTACAAAAATATAAATTTTAACAAACATGTTATGCTTAAAGAATGAAAAATACCTTACGGTACATTTAAAATTGTATACGTCTTTCGATACCCTTGATAGAGTATTCGCTACTTTTATTTTATGTTCCAAACACCAAAATGTTTTAAATAAAACAAATTTTTTTCGCATCCATATATTATTGTAACATGTACCTTTTAAAATTTTTTAGAGGAGAGGCTTTACTGCTGCTCATTTTAAACTCATCATTTTAATTTTATATATCTGAAAAATAATCCATTTGGGCTTACACGTTTTACTTATTTGGGTTAATTAAAAATAAAATATAGTGAATGCACAGAAATTAAAGATTTGCACATGCCGGAAATGAAAAATATGAAATAGGTATGGAGTATTTATGCATGTAAGCTTGCAAAAAGCATGTATCGGCCTTTAACAAAATACATAAATATTCATTAAATTATTTATAAATGTATTTAGAAATGAAGGAATTTATTTCATTTATAAACAACTGTGAAAGTTACTATCGAAGAAATCTATTAAATGTATCTAAATTTATAATGACCATAAATGTTATCTAAATATATAATAACCTTAATATTGAATTGTAAACATTAAGTGAAATCCTGTTGACAAATATGTTATAAAACTATTTAAGCAAGAGTTGTTCATACTGGAAAGCAATCTCGTGTGATGTATCTAATTATGGCAAAACACACTAGGGCTATCTGCCTAAGGGATGCCTTCGTGGAGGACTTTCTAAGTGAAACTGGCTCGTATACACATTACACATGGGGAAAACCATGAAAACGCCCATGCAGCTAGCCCGTTCGCGGGATTCGAACCTCGGACCGAACTACCAGTGTTCAGCGACTTTACCGCTCGGCCGCTGATGGGCCTGGAAAACAATCTGTTAAAAGGCATTTTAAAGCAAATGCTATGAGATTGCGCACTTAAGAAAGTAATAAAAAGTTTTGGAATATGTATTGTTGAAATTAATGGTTAAAAAAAATCTGATAAGTATACTTAGAATTATTTCCCTTACATTTTATAATAACTCAGTTACAAGTTTTAAATAATACTTAAAAAAAATCCTTATTTTATTCCCTTTCAGAAATGTTCAGAGAAAGTTAAGTACTATTTAAAGTATTTCGCTAATTTCTAATAATTCTTTAATTTAAAATGAAATGAATAGAGCATTAATTATAAATTGACTTATATTTTTCGATTTAAAAGATGCCTCAGAAGTCAAAAAATCATGTCATATTTAAGAAAGTATTTTAGGAAGAAGCTCTATTAATAGAAAAGAAATAATGCATAATTTTAATATTAATAATACAATAAACTTTGATCTTAATTTTTGTACCTTAACCGAATAAAATCGAATTACCTTAAATTTTTTTTCTAATGTAATTAGCGAAAACTTGTGAAAATATTTCATTCAAATTAAACCATTCTGAGAAAACTGTTCTGCGAAAAGTATAGCATTTAATTCCGTTCAGAATGAAATGTTGTTTTCATATACTTAGGACTCTGAAGTGTTGTATAAAAAGAAAATATATACATTTATTTACGACGTAATTACAAAATATTACATCCAATCGCGTCAAAAACCATTGAACTTAATGGTAAATGACCCAATGTTTTGGTCACCACGTAGGGATCGCCAGTGCTTCATAGCAGGGTATGGGAGAAACCTGTTTAGGGCCACTCCATCTTACTTCCTACCTCCATGAAGAAATCAGAGGGGCCGAAGGAAAGGTTCCAGGAAGGCCTGGGATATTTTTGCCATAAATAAGCACAATGTTAGCCAATTTAACGTTTTGCTCAGTTTTGTGAACATTTTTATTTTCTTTGCTTTACGCTTGTAAAAAAAAAAAAACTTTGTGCGGCAGGCGCAGATAATCAGGAGTCTACTGTATATATGTACAGGGCTTCAAAAACATAAATACTAAAGTTAAATTAAATTTAAATAATTCTCTTGCGCCATTCCTGCAAGGAATGAAATTTAAATTTAATAAACATTCTCTATTCGTAAAAAGCAAATTTAAAGTTAATTAAATTTAATGTAAACAAATAAATGACTAATTATTGCTGCGAACTAATCTACAATATCATTTAAATTCTGAGAGCATATGTAAATTAAGTGCAAGTATCAAAATTAATTTTATTCATAGATTTTGATACTTGCACTTGATTTACATATGCTCTCAGAATTTAAACAATAATGTAGATTAGTTCGCAGCAATAATGAATCATTTACATGTTTGCATTAAATTTCATTTAAATTTAATTAACTTTAAATTTTCTTTTTACGAATAGAGAATGTTTATGGGTACAGGGTATGCTTTAAATTCGTATTATATAATATTTATATACTGATACGATCAGCCAGCAAGAATTTTTTATTTTTCAATTATTTAGTCTAATTTTTAATTTATTTTTTAATTAATTAATTTTTTTTTAATTCCGAATTTCTTCTTTTGTTTACTGGCAAACTGCAAAACCTTCCATAAGTACTTTTAACTTAACTGAAATAACACTGAAAACTGAGATTGTTAACATTTTACTAGTAATGAAAATATTTTACACTACTTAAATGCTGCCAATTCCTTGATTACTAAGCACAGAAAACACTGAATTTTGTCAGATAATTTGGTCATACCTCATCATTTATGTGAAAGGAATCAACTAAATCAGAAGATGAAATGGGTACTCCAGCAGATGAGTCAATGTCAACCAATGGGTCTATAAAATTGCTATTGGGAGATAATGGTATTCCGATAGACTCCTGAAAAGACAAAAATATGAATAATTAGCTTAGAAATCAGTAAATGCTTTTATCAAAATTTAAAAACTTTTATATTCAAAGTTTGTAAAATAGCAACACTTTTTACACAGTTGCTTTGACTACATGTTAATGATTTTAAATATATAATAAAAGAGTTAACAATTTATATATCAAAAGAATGCTTCCCTTCCCCCCTCCATTTCATGCTAAAAAATTATGCTACATAAAAAGTGAAACAAAAACAATGAAATTAAAATGAACTAAAAGGTGACCAATTTTTAAATCCACTTATAATAAAATACAACAGAAAAATTCACTGCTTATCAAAATCAACGATTTTTGCTCACTTAGGTATTACAAACTGATTATTGCACAGTTTATAAATTTAAAAATTTAACTTTTACTCATAAAAACAAAGACCAGAAAATTCAGTAAGGGAATAAATTGCTACAGAATGACTGAAAATAGCAAAAATCAGGGGAAAGAACTAAAATGTTTTAAAAAAGATGAAAATATTGTAACTGTTTCCTATGCAATAAATAGTAGTGATTCAACAAAATATAAAAACACAATTCAATTATTCAAACACTGATGGCCAATTCTAAATTTTTGAGGAATAGTAATAAACTCTCCTGCTACTAATTTTGTGTGCTTCAAAGGATAGTTTTACTTTAGTTTTGTGAAAGAATTAAACATAGAAAATATTAAAAATTTCTAATTTTATATTATTTCAATTTCCATTCAATATTGTGAAAGTCACAGATGCAAGGATAGAGGCAATATAAATTCCTAACTGCTCATTAACCGTAAAATGATCAACTATATATTAAAATGATGTTCAAACTGCCAGAATTTTTTAGTAATCAGTACACATCATTGAAAATTCTCGAAACTATCTCTCGAATCCCCCTGATAATTTTGGACGTAGATACTGAAGTTCATGCACATCATTTAAAATTCTCGAAAACACCTCTTTAATTTATTAGATAAATCTAGAAAATGTATTAAATAAACACTTCTAATAAATCTAGTAGTTTATCTCGGGCTACACAAATGCTTCGACAAGCACATATTCCATCTATCTAACAGCCAAACTCTTCAACCTAGCTCTTTAATTCTGAGCTGTTTTCTAAATATATGGCAAATCAAAACTAATGTTACAAAAAGAAAATATACTACAGTCAAAAGTCTTTAATCCGGACTCATCGGGACTTTGGTGATTCCAGATTATCGGTTTTTCCGGATTATAGATCTTCAGTTTAAATCTGATAAGATGGTATGCAGAAATTACAAAATTAAAAATATGAAACCATAATTTATGAAATAAAGAGCAATTATGATCTAAAGGGTATCAAAATTTACAAAAAAAAAGTTTAATATTTATTTGTTTACTTTATTAAACATTTCTTTTAACGCGGGCATGCGTAAAGCATACATTACGCATAGTCGAAATTAGAAAATTGCAACCAGAAAAGTATTTGATGTGTATTCGTGATATTTATAATGATGAGGAATTTGATTTAAATTATATCAAGTACATCGAGATGAAATACTACATTTAGTAAGGAATTATAAGCCAAATAAAATAAAAACATCTGCCCTGAAGATAAGGATAGTGCTGACAGATATACTTCCAATTCATTGAACGCCGCGACATTCCCCCCCCCCCCCACACACAGAGCAGCGTGAAATTGATAAACAGATTTTGGAATGGTTAGAGAAACAAAGTATATGCCTTTATCCATTTTTTGCAGCAATTCCACTTTTTGTTTGATGGACATCGAAACATGCTTTCGCTTTGTAGATCCTTTGGCAGCTCCAGAATCGGAAATTCTTTTTGACATAATCGAAAGTTCAAGCTTACTTTTACTCTAACAGTCTGAAAACAATAATAAGGCGGATCCAATTAGAAGATTAAGGAACAATGCAATCTGGAACATTAACTGAAATATATAATTAGATAATTTTTTCTTAGCTTATGCCGTCCCATAATGTTGAAAATATGACTTATTGTAACCCTTTTTCTGTATCATCTCTCCTCCCTGAAATAATTCTAACTTTTACATAAGGTTTAGTTTTTATTTTAAAGGGATATAGCAATTACTTCTAGTTTTTTTTTTTCACTGCCACTGTTTGTATAAAGAATGGACTGTTCCAGCCTAATTAAGATGCGAAAACGAAACGATGTTACGTCATCTGGAAAGCTGAGTCGTCCCGACAGCTGATTGGCTGCCGTGAGATGATGTCATGTCTACTTCGGGTATAAGTATCTCGCATCGCTATGGCTTATTGCTTCACTTCGCTCGGAGTCGACTGTTGTTCTCTCTCATCGGCATACTCTCAGTTCGGAGGCTGCTCTCTCGAGTACTTCTTAACTGTGCATTTAGTTGATTAAACGTTTTTTCCTTCATTCTTAATTTTTCGGACGTTTTGGTTTCTCAAGTTAGATCACTATCTTGGATAAGGATTGTTCGAGACTTGGTGAATTGAAAGGAGGCATGGCGGTTTTGGATTGCTTTGGTAAGAATTCTATCTTTTGTTTCTTGATGCATTACCGTGCCAATGCAGCCCGTTAGCAGCTTAGGTTATGGAGACGGATGTAAAACGATTAAAATGGCTACGTAAGTATTACCCAGGAGTAGATGATTACACTATTAGAGACAAACTAATGCAGGAGTTAGACGCCCTTAAACAAAACAATTGCCCTGAAAACGATGCTAGGCTAAAAGATTTAAGCGAGCATATTGCTAGTATTACTATCAGTATGGAAAAGGATAATAAAGAAAAAATGGAAGGAGATTCACAAACCCCTAACTCATCCCAAAAATGGAAAAGAGAAATATTTTAACTAGAAACGCAAGCGGCAAAAAAACGTAAAAACGCAATCCACCGATAAAAAAAAAAAGGATTTGTTACCCCGCGCGTTATGCACAAGCGTACACTATCAAATGAGGAACCGGAATATCCATCGCAAAAAAATAAATTCGGTCAGTTAAATGCTGATGACAAAATGGATGATGATAATAATGAACCATTCATTATACCAAAAAAGACTGCAGCTCACATTCCCCCCATCGTCCTCACAGATTTTGCAGGAAGTTGGGACAAATTAAAAGTTGAACTTGAAAATGATTTAAACATAAAAATATACACCGGTAATCTGTCAGGCAGCAGACTGACAATCAGAGTATTTGAATCAGATCACTATAGAACCATTACTTCATTGCTAAAAAAGCGAGAAATTCCATTTCACACCTTTAAGCTGAAATCAGAAAAGCCAATAAAAGCTATCACTAAGAAACTCCCCAAAACATCTGACATTGAGATTCTAAAACAAGAAATCTTGGATTTAGGAATCCCTGTTGGAAAGATAAGACAGACAACCGCCAAAAAAGATGGAGAAATAATTAAATTACCCATTTTCTTAGCAGAGGTGAAAAGAAACGCCGATGGGAAAAAGATCTTCAACATAAAGAAACTTCGAGGGTTAGACGTTCTCGTAGTAAACTACAAATCAGGCCCTGTGCAATGCCATAAGTGCCAGAGGTACGAACATACACGAGACCTGTGCAACTACACTCTTAGGTGCCTAAAATGCGCAGAAAACCACGAGACGCACTTATGCAAAATGCAAAAAGGTCTCAATGTTCCCATCTGTGTTCTTTGTGGAGAAAATCATGTTTCTTCCTACCGTGGTTGTAAAAAATCCCCAATTAATATCCAAAAACATATTGAGGAAGAAAAAACTGCAAAAAAAGTGCAGGAAAAAGATTTCCCCAAATTACCCAGCCGTAGTGCACAGGAAATCAGTGCTACCTCCCAAAATAACAATACCACAGAAACAACCAATCAAAAAGAACATTCTTTCTTTGAATGGGTGAAAATCCAAATTATGCAAGTTAAGAAATTCTTTACTAAATTCAAGACTGCCAAGTCTATATTCAAAAAGTTAGAAGTCGGCATTGCCGCATTTGATTACTGTTCAAGTCTGAATTATGAATTTTAGGCCCTCAACACATAACCCGAACCTGATTTCAGCTAGTACAAGCTTTTTAAGAATCTCATATTTTAACGCAAACGGCGTTTACAGTCAACTTCAAGAAATAATTCATTACTTGAGAAAATATAATGTTGATGTTATGATGATCAATGAGACGCATTTAAAACCAAGCAATAGAACAAATATTCCCGGATACAGCGTTCTTCGCGACGACCGAAGTCATAATAGAGGTGGAGGCACTGCCTTAATCATTAAAAATCATTTCAAGCACACCAGATTCAAAGTCCCCAATACTGGAAATTTAGAAAAAAACGGCCGCAGTAATTTACACAGGATTCAACGAGCCTTACCTCATCATTGCTGCTTACAACCCTCCAAATAATGCACTCAGAGCACAGGACTTAGATAAAATTACAAACTTTAATTTTCCCACCTTAGTAGCGGGCGACTTAAATGCAAAACACTACATTCGGAACAGCAGAAACATTAACAGAAATGGCCAAATTCTTAGCGATTACGCCCTAAGGAACAATATTAGAATACTTGCTCCAGATATTCCTACGATATATCACCACAATGGCAGCGGAGAAGTTCTTGATATCCCTATCATGAAAAACATTTCAGCAACACCTTATCTGGAAGCCAAAGATGATTTAGCTTCTGATCATAGACCCGTTCTTTTTTACTTTTATGGATTATATCCACCACTGCAAAAAACCCAACAAAAAGTTAATTGGAAAATTTTCAAAAATCACATGACTAGCATTCCCTGCAGAATCTCAATAAATAATTGCGCTGAATTAGAAAACACAGTTCATAATCTTAATACCAAGATTCAAGACGCCATTAAAAACACTACTTTCATCAGTAAGAGATATGATAGCAAAAACCTTCCAGAGCACATTTTAAATCTAATAAAGCAGCGAAATAACAGAAGAAAAATTTGGCAAATGACAAGAAACCCAAGAGATAAAACACACTTTAATTATCTTTCAAGAAA